AGAGAGAGAGAGAGAGAGAGAGAGAGAGAGAGAGAGAGAGAGAGAGAAGCAAAACACACAAAAACATAAAATAAAAATAAACAAATATATTCTTTAAAAAAAAATCTCACACTCAATTCACTGCTTAAAAAATGGCTGTCAACAGTCTACTTTTATAACCATCTGATGTCAGAAAATGTGCAGCACATGGAAAAGAGTTTTCCTTGAGTATTCTCTTCATTATGGATTTTTCCAGATCCCTTAGAATTAAAAAAAAAAACCCATAATATCCCCAACTAGCATTAACTAGATTTTGTACTTAACGTCTGTGTCACTTCCCGTTATCTTATATCTTACCTTTTCTTTTGGAAATAAATATAGAAAACAGCACTGATGATGAATGGAACAAATAAAAAGATGGATGCAGTTGCAGTTATCTTCCAGCTTAAACAAGGATTTGTGGTACCTGAAAAACACAAACCAGAACATATTATTTCTCTGGTTACACTGAGCTGCTATCTTGGAGCCTTAAATTTCTAAATCTTTCTTGTCTTGCTACAGCTCAATTGACATTCAGATTTACTCCATAAGAGGCTTTGTCATTATCGTGAAATAAAAAATAAGATCCTAAATGGCAGTTGCTACTTGCCTTTATAATTAGGAACGTGCATGCTTTTCAGTGAGGCACTATGGCTTTTCCTTTGACTGCACCAATGTGGTTTTATCTAGCTTTTACTATTCATTTTCAGTAAGACACTACAGAGCCATTTTAGATAGGTAGAAGAGATTGAACATAAAGAATTTAACACAGAAATATGAACTCTTTTCTGAAGGTAATTCTAACAAATACATATGGGATTTCACCAGAATGAGAAATTCACATCCCTAATATTTAACATGAAAATAAGCAAGGCATAACATTTTTCTGAACTGATAGATTGCTTATTATTGACATTTGCATTTTAGTAAATAATTAAAATCAACCATAATAAAATAGAGAATAGATTTATAGAAGATACTTATGGCATTTAATTCATGTAATCCAGTTTTATGAGTTAGGAGAATTGGCCAGCAAAAGGATCTGGCCAACTTTAGTTTCAATAAACAAACATAATACAAATACCTATCTCTAATATTTCCTGAGCATCTTTAAAAACAAGATTAATATAAAATGGTTAAATTAAAAGCAGCAAAAATATTGACATGACCTTCAGTGTGAGAAAACAGACTTAGAAAACATATAACACAACATAAGAATGGGTGGCTAGAGTGAAGACAATTAGTGAAGGAAATGACAGAAGACTTTCACACTATTATTCCCAGATACAACTGAAAAGAAAAAAAACTCTCATAAAATAGGCAATGAAGCAAAGCCTTTGAAAGGACAAGCAATTTTAGTCCACCAACCTCCATGCCTGGGTGGAACAGGGACTTGGGGCTCCTCACCCCCTTCTGCTGAACTGTCATTCATGGAAAGGGGGAAACCTTGCCTGAAGTTGTGTATCCAATACCCTGGTGACACCCAGTCTCCAGTGGATATTGCCACTGATAACCTTGGTTAAAATAAGTGGGTCATGAGACCAAAAGTCATGAACCTGGAAGAGTAAGCCATGGGAATAAGAGGTGTGGGATGGAATGATGGGAGTGGAGAAACATGAGAACGGAGAGGAGAGGAATCAGAATTCATTGATATGTGTGTGAGATTTCCTAATATGTATCTTAACTAATAAAAATGAACAATTTCTAAAAACAAATTTTAAATTTAAAGCTTGCTTCTCAAAAGAAAGGAAAGTACCATCGAAGAACTTGAAGAAAATGTTTATACACTAACCCAGATAATATTAAGAAAAGAAAAAAATCATGGATATTAAGGTCAAGTAAAAAAAAAAACCTAACCTAGATTGTTTAATGTAGTTTAATGAGTTGCTTATAAAATGAAACTATTGAAAGAACTGGAGGAAATTATCCATGAAATGAGAGTACATTCAGAATTTACTGATGCTTAGTGACTCTCTTGGTTCCTGGGCTAATGTGACCAAATTAAGGGAAAGTTACACATTTATCACTAGTTTATAGAATCCAGCTGTCAGTCATCCTATCCTAATATTAGAATAGGTCTCATTAACCAAATTATATCATTGCAGTCTCTCACCACATTCTCGTTATAGTAATTTCATGAGACCTGTCATATACAGGAGTAGGAACATGACTGATAGCCAGAAGTTTACTGCAGTCTGTGTCACCAAGTGGAGGCCTGGAAACTCTTTCAGCTTGTACTGTATAAATGGAAAGAGAAATGCACAGAACTTTCTTGTCCTTCTTTTGATTTTCAATAACCTGCTTGTCTTATCAATGTGTAGTTTGTAGAAAGAAACTATTTTCCTTGATTTTATTCTAGAATTCAGAAAGCACTGTTACAGTTACCTCAAGCATAGTACAATTAGTATTAGTATTTAATCATCTAAGCCTTATTCTCCCTTGGGGAATAATTTGAATCTCTTTATTGTAGATTCTGATAGTGACACTCCTTATATGTCATTTGTTCATAATTAAAACTGAGTTTTATCTCAATGGTGGTCCCAGAGCTTGGCATATAATGTTCAATAAATATGAAGACTCCAGGTTCTTCATACCTGTGTGTTTCAAATTCTAGGATGTTTCCATGGAAAGAGCAGAGGAGGTGAACCCATGTAACACATTTCACCTACTGGCAATCCTTGCTTTGCAAAGGCTAAGGTCTTAAGAAGGGGAATATTTTACTGGAATGGTTGCCTGTTTTCCTTTCTCAAACCTGAAATACATCCCCTAAATTGAAAAAATGTCCAGAAATCAATATCAAGGTATACAAAACTCCAAAGCTCAAAGGGAAAGGTGATGATCTACAGACAGCACAGAGTTAATGAAACCCTGCGGCTTAGTGCTTTGGTGGCCACTAGCAATCCAAGGATAGTTATTTCATACAGGTATTTATAGTTCCAATAATTTGTTCATATATCAATGTAGTAAAGCACATGGGAAGATAGTTACCAGCTCTGTAGGCTATGAAATGGCATTTCTTCTTAACAATAAAAAATAGTGAATGTTGATTGTCTTACTCCAGAATTCCCCGGTACTAGGGAGTTTATTTTGTTGTAAATCAAAATACATCTTGAAAGATAACTAGAAAGAAAGTACAAATTCTCTTCCAGTTTAGAATGTAGAGTTGAGAATATGAGAGAAGACTGCATTAATACTCTTGACTGTTGAAAACTCAGAAAAATCCTTTAATTTGTAAAAGTTTTGCCATTGGTGATTTTTGTTAGGATATTCCTGATATGTTTAAATGTTATTTTATTTTTATACTAGGTTTACTATTAGTAGATTATCCACAATATAGGGTAATAATTATTGATTATCACCAATACCATGATTTACTCAAGCCTGTTAACAGAGATAGTCATTGACAAAGCTCTTAATGGGTGACTTCCACTGCTATTATCTTGATTAATCATGGAGACAATGCTCCTTATTGTGTTGGTAGTGTTAATGAGTTTGAACAAGAAACAAACTGGCAGAACAAGACTTGGGAGGCTTGAAACACAGTAAAACTAGCTTGGCGACAATGGTAATATTGGTAGAAACAAATTATCCTATTAACTGTGCATAAAAGGGGGTTAATGTATAGATAATTAGAAAAAATTAGGATAGAATGATGAGATGTTATGAGTCAGATATAAGAATGAGTCCATTACCATAACTGTATCTCCATATTGTGTTCATAAATTTACCCTAACATGAGAGATTATCAAAATAAAGCCAGATTTTAGAATACAAACAAAATTGTTATTACTCTTTTGAAGGAAGTGATAGAAAACAGTTAATAGAAACCCAGAATCTCCACCATTTAATCTAAGGCTCTGATGATTGAAAATTACAGTCTTCTACTACTGGAAATGGAGGTTCAAAGCTCATCAACTGATGAACAGAATTACAAAACCATGTAGATCAGAGAGCATGGAAATAAAGTTGTAAAACAATAAAAAGGCTGGTGTGAAAAAAGAGTTGTAAAATAATCAAAGTGGTTGTTTTGCAAGTGAATAATAAGGGATGCCTTAAGTTCAAAAGTCACCTAGTTAGCTTGAACCTGAGCTTCTCTGTGTAAATATTAAGAAGATCTGAATAAATTAGTTTAAAAAATTGAACATATCATGAGTCCATCGGCCATAGAGCTAGTAAGAGAAATCACCATCCACGTGTCAAACTCGACATTTAGAAACACATTTCACCAAGAAGGCACTAGCTAAAAAGTTCAAAGTTAAAACTGGGCAGCTGAAAACCCAGTGGAAATATCAGCAATCACACTGAACAATAAAACCTGGAGGTAAATATTGTCCAGGCAAAGAGCCATGGTGTCTACTGGATTAAGTCTCCATAGTTAACAGTCCAGGAAACAGGAATGAAACAGAAAGGCCTTGCTTTTCAAGGACTTAAACATATATTTCCTTTTTTATTTTCAGGGCTAGAGAGCAAACCCAGAGCCCTCCCCATGGGAAACAAGCATTGTCTCACTGAGCCATAGCTCCAGACCTTCCTTTTTTATTGTCAACAAGATTGAGAAAACTATTCCTAACATAAACACTCAGACACAGAAAAGTAAATATCATTTGGAAGACGATATTATAAAACTATTCGCTATAAAATTTTATGTACACAATTTCACTCATATGAAATATATATCATATTCATATCATGTATATGAATGAGTTTCTCATTCTTATATGAAATATAAGTATGATATACGTATACATGTATGTATATGTCTATGTATATATGATACATCGTAGGAGGAGCTAAGGTGGGAGGAGTAAGGAGAGGAAGAGGAGGAATTAGGAGAGGAAGAGGAAAAGGAAGAGGAGGAGCTAGAGAGAGCAGAGATGTAGGAGGATGGAGTACTACACAGGTATGGAGAGCAGTCATGGGGAGCAACTTATAATTAGGCTAGCTAATTGGGATACAACTGTCTTTGTATGGTCATCTTGTTATTAATCATTATCAAGCATATAAAGCCTTTGATTAATCTATAAGAATTAGAGTCTCATTTTCTTACTGGGCCTGCATGGATGGCGGAATGGTCTGGGCAATGCTCATCTTTGCGGAGACAGCATGGAATATTGGCAGAGCCATCTCTCACTCTGGTGTCTCGTCGGTGGCAGGGCTGGTGTTTCTGACTGGCTGTTTCTAGCTGCTGCGTGCACGTGGCCTCCGGCCGAAAAACATAGCACCTGAGCTAGGCAGAGTCGCCGCAGCTTAGATAGTCGGCTGGACCAGAGGCCAATTTTAAATAATTACTACAAATATATATATACATATACATATACATACATATATATGCATATATATGCATATACATATACATATGTATACATATGTTCCTACTTTCTTGAAGTGGGAACATGAGGATTTGATAGTTAGCATTAAAACATATGGAGTATTACATAAAATACCCTTCCTACCTATTATATGGCTATAATTGGTTTTGAACACAGAATAATAAATATTGGCAGTGATATAAACAAAACCCAAATAGACTTACATGGCTGTTAGGAACTTAAAATATTTGACCTCTGGCAGCTGTTGAAAAAATTGGACATTTTATCTATCATATAACCCACAAATGCACTTCTGGGTTCATTATTACCAGGAAGCTGAAAAATATAAATATATGTTTATATAAAACTTTGTGCACAAATGCTCAAGAGGAATTTTTCACAGCAGTCAGAAATATAAATAAGTCAAACAGTCAACTGATGAATTGGTAAATGAAGAGTGGTGCATCTGTACCAGAGAATACTTAGAGACTCATGGAAATTGAATTATTGATACATGGCACCACATGGCTAAACACTAAGAACTCAATATGTGAAAGCAAACACTCCCAAATAGCTACATACAGTAGTATTGCATTTAAAGGAAGTAACCACAGTCAATAAATCCATCAGCACAGAAAATAAATTAGTGGCTGCCAGGCAGTGGAAAAACCACTTGCTTCATTCATTGGGAATTTTTGCCACTGCAAAAGGTGTTTGGTTTCTTCAGGAAGTGGTGGATATGTTCTGTAATTAGATATCCAAGATTATTGCAAAGCAATTAGAAAACACCAACAACCTACAAATTATATGCTCTAATATGCTGACTTCTATCTTAATGAAAACAAATTGCCAAGGGGGGGAAAGACCTTGGCACATTGAGATGTTCTATGATGTTCTTACTAATGACTGTGAACTTTGTAAATATGTTAAAAGTAATTGACTTCCATACTATCAATGAATTAATTGTATAGTGTGTAAGTTTCATGAAAACAAAGTTATTAAAAACAATTGGAACTAAGTGTGGCAGTTCCTGGGGAGGGCCGGCCAACAACTGACCAATGCTGAGGTGGATGCTTGGAGCCAACCATCAGGCTGAACTCAGGGAACCTGGTAGGAGAGCTGGCAGAAGGACTGGAGGAGTGGAGGGGGATTGCAACCCCATTGTAAGAACAACATAGGTTGGCCTGACCACACAGTTCCCCCAGAGACTAGAGCACCAACCAAGGAGTGTACCTAAAGGGATCTTTGGCACTAGATACATATGTAGCAGAGGATGGCCTGCCCCGACAGCAATGAGAGGGGAGGCCTTTGGTCCTGGGGAGGTTTGGTCCAGAGTAGGGAGCAGTGGGGTGGGAGAGTGTGGATGGGTGGGAGAGTACTCTCAAACAGTCAAAAGGGAGGGGGAGGACAGATGTGGGGTGGGAGGATGGAAACCGGGAAGTGGGATATCATGGGATGGGGTGTTGTTGAAGAGGGCAATGGGGAAGTGGGATATCATTTCAGATGCAAACAAATGACTAATAAAAACTTAAAAAGAAAAGAAAAAAATCTGACTAGCCAGGTATAATGGTGCATGCCTTTAATCCAAGCATTTCAGAAGCACAGGCAAGCAGATCTCTGTGAGTTCAAGGCCAGCTTCGTATAAATAGGGATTTCCAGGACAGCTAGAACTACATAGTGAGACCCAGTCTCAACACCACCACCCCCCAAATGAAAATAAGAATATAACAACTAGTGTTCAAGATAGTGTGGGGAAAATGCTTACTCACTGCTAGCGGAGCTACAAATACTTTGGAAATTGCTTTTGAGGCTCCACAAGAAATTAATAAGAGAATTACCAAATAATCCAGCTGTACACTCCCGTGTATCCCAAGGACTTCAGATTCTACCATAGAGATTCTACCATACTTTTATGTCCATGCTTATTGCTGCTATAGTCACAGCTAAGATGTTCATCAACAGATGAATGACTAACAAAAATATGGTATATAATATGTAATGTGATATTATTCAGTTGCAGATCAAATATAAAATCATGGAATTTGTAGAATTCATGAAAAGCATGAACATTAAGCAAGGTAAAAACAAACTCAGAATGACCAAACCCTTATGTTCTGCCTCATTTCTGCCTCATATGTGGAATCTAGACTCCGTGTGTGTGTGTGTGTGTGTGTGTGTGTGTGTGTGTGTGTGCCTAATTGTGGTTAAAGTCTTTAAAAAATCTGGAAAAGAGAATGAGGGAGTAATCTTATTAGGTGATGAGGTGGGATCACGGTGTGGGGACACAGACCTGTGAGTCCTGGAAGAGGATAAATCAAAAGTGAGGTGGCTGGCTATAAGGTAGGTCGCACCTGGGAAAGGCATGGGGAAAATGGGAGGAAAGAAAACCACAGAAATTCACTTTGTTTTAAAATGTCATAATACAATATACTCATTTAGACAAGAAGAGTATTCCTTGTAGACCTCAGCCTAGCATAGTCGTCATCAGAGAGGTTTCATCCAGCAACTGTTAGAAGCTGATGCAGAGACCTACAGGGAAACACTGAACAAAGCTCTGGGAATCTCATGGAATAAAGAAGGGAGGCTGGTAGGAGTCAAAGGAGTCAAGAACATCAGAAGAACATGTCCCACAGAATCAACTACCCAGGGCTTATAGAAGCTCACAATCTGGGGCCTGCATGAGTCTGTACTAGGTCCTCTGCATACATGCTATGGTTGTGTAGCTTAGGGTTGTTGTGGGACTCAGGGCTACCTCTGACTCTTTTGCCTGTTTTTGGAACCCTTTTCTTCCTACCGGGTTGATATGAACCAGCCTTGATATGAGCGTCTGTGCCTGGTCTTATTGTACTCTCGTACGCTGTGTTTGGTTGCTATCCCTGGGAAGCCTGCTCTTTTCTAAAGAAACATGGAGGAGGAGTAGAATTGAAGGAGAGAGAATAAGAGGAAAGATGGGAGGGGAAACTGTGGTTGAGATGTAATATACGAGAGACAAAATAAATAAATTAGTTAATTAATTAAAAACATAAAATTTTAAAGTCAGGAAAAGTGAATGGCTGTCACCAAATTGATGAAAAGAACAAAACTACCTAAGATTAATTGAAATGTTATGAAAAAGGTTTTTTCTTAAACAGTATATGACAGAAAAATAAAAATGGCTATCATTGACTCAAAGAAAAATCAAAAACAAAACTATGAATGAAAAACAAACAAACAAACAACAAACACAGTAAGGCAAATAGTGTGTATATTTAATGAATCCTGTTGCAGCATGCAGGGTTAAGGTGGAGAGTGTCCACAATCTTTGATTTATTTTTTTAAATAGCATCTCCCTCTACAGCACCAGTTATTTTGGTACTCACTATATAGACCTGCTACCTCTGAACCCAAAGAGATCCTTGAGCTTCTACCTCCCAAGTGAAGGGATTAAAGTGTGTGCTACAGTGCCTGTCTTTATTGATTCCTTAATCATATGTGTACTTCATACTGATTTACTTCTTCAAAAATAGCTGACTTGTATGAATACTTTTCATAATAGGTTTTTTAAAGATAAATATTTCCTCTTTCTTTCATGTGTGTATATGTATGTGTAGGTCTGTGCATGTGTAAGTATGTGCTTGCTTGAGTATGGGTATATGTGTGTACATGTACATACTATGGAAGCCAGAGAGAAACCAGAAAAGCTATCCCAACTTATGGTTTTGTTAACATTATTTTATTTATCTTAGAGAATTTAACTGAGAGCAGAGGATTACTGATTATTCTAGACTTTTTGGCCAGTGAGTGAGTCCTCAGGATTTACTTCTGCTTGCCTATTCAGTGATGGAATTAAAAGCACACATCCACAACAGGCTTTTTATGTGGGCATCAAACTTGGGCTCTGTACTTTCATGATAAACATTTTACAAGACTAAGTTGTTTCCCCAGCATCAGCTGTCCCCTTTAACTTCATTGTCGCTTTTACTTACTTGTTTGATTGACTGGCAGAGGGACTATCTTCTCTTCGTATCTCACGGGGTGAGTCATGGACACAACCAGGTCCCGGAGACCTAGGGACCTCGCAGTTTTCAAAGAGATGTTGTAGATTTTAGTGACAGTCACTGTGGCATTGGCGTTCTGAGAAAAGTACTCTTGTGGTGGGTGCACTGCCACTTGTGAAGGGTAAATGGAGATCCTGGGAGCAGGCTTTCCCACAGCTGAACAATGGAGATTATGAAGATCTTCAGAGCCAGGGGCAGACTGCAGTTCAGTTACTAGCTCAGATACAGCTGAGGCAAACAGAGGGAAACAAAATTACTACTACAAAAGCAAGTCATCCTAAATCCTCTGCTGTGAGAGCATGGCATGTCCCCCAATTTCTATATGACACACAAATGCTGAAAACTCATCCCTATCTGATACCTCCTGACTGATGTAACAAAACCTCCAATATCGTTTCCTCTGCCCACTGACTGATGTTTCAACTTCCATACATCTATAAATTTTATTACACGCATCCTCAGCACTTTACATAATAGCCTAATACGGAACTCATGTTACTAGTACTGTGACTTTGCTTATTTGAAGAGTGGGGAATAATAATTCCCTTAGCTTTCACCTTCCACTCTTCTTCTCTGGGTTCTCTATCTTTTCTCACATCTTCTTCTCCATTTAGTGACAACATTCTGATACCCTTCTGGGATTTCTCCACTAAATGCACTGCAGCATAGTTTACAGAAATGACGTGAGGTAGGAGATGGTGCTGTCTGAGTGCACCATGTCCATTGGTCTCTGTTATTTTTCTTCTGTCTAAATAAGTTGGATTAATCATCATCAGCTTTTTATTGTATAACTTTCTTTTTCTGGACAACGTCCTTGAGAACTATAACTCCATGATGTATAATAATGGGACCCTTGAGGAAAAGGTTATATACTTAAAATGGTAAGGCAGGTTTGTACTCCATGGCTGCCTTGTGGAAAAGTGTTAAACAGACACTTGTAGCAGGCTTCATCTTCAAATGTCACTCCTTGGATAGTCATGAAGGAGACACTGGGTTCCAGGAACTTGCACTGCAGCCTGTTTACATATGGTGAGAGAATCTTTTCTCCATATTTATGGCTGTAAGTGCCAATATTATGAGGCAAAGAGCCTTGGATTTTCTGCCAGGTAACTTGCAAAACATTTGCCAGATTTGTCAAGTTGCAGAAGAGGGTCACGTTTCTTCCCAGGACAGCTGTTTCATAATTCTTATGCTTTATTCTCTGTGAAGACTCTGAAAAAATGAGGTTCAGCGTTAAGGAAAATATAGATGCGTACTACCCCAGAGGACATAACAACATTTCTCTTTGCCCTTATGGTCACCATTTTATTTGCCTCTTCTACACAATAGGAAATGACACACTCTAGGCTGAGGATGTGACTACAAGCAAGTTTGTATCAAATTGTTTTCCAAAACTGCATGGAAACTAAGCTTCACAAAATCACAAGGAGCCTCTTAAATACATGAGGCACATTTGTTAGAGAAACTCTCTGTTCATCAGGATGTTCTGGGCTCATGTTTTACATGAGCTGATCTGTAGGACTGAGGTCTTCTAGCATGATTTTACTTTCCTGGAACTCAGCATTTTCATCTCCATAACAGCCTTAACTAACACAGGGTTGAATCAAATAAGAACACAAGGTCATCTGACAGTTAAAACCACTTCAAATAGTTTAGTTTTCATAAGTAGTTTGTTCCTTGCCTTTAGGGAAAGGTTATTTACACGAGAAAACCCAAATTAGCAATATAAATAAATAAATAAATAAATAAATAAATAAATAAATAAATAAATGGAGGAGGAGGGAAGGAAGGAAGGAGAAAGAAAGAGAGAGAGAAAGAGAGAGAGAGAGGAAGGAAGGAAGGAAGGAAGGAAGGAAGGAAGGATAAAAGGAAGAAAGAAAGAATCAAGCTGTTCACCACTGATTCTGTAACAGTTTCTACACAGCATAGCCCCTTATCAGCATTTGTTCCCAGGTTCCCTTTCTCTTTATAGTCAGAACTATACAATGAGAGAGATCTTTCTCATTATGCATTTTATTTACTAACTCATTCTTTACTGGTGCTAGGGGTTGCCTTTGTGCTAATAAAAAGCTTTATCATTAAACCTCAGCCCCTTCTTTTCTTTTCTTTTTTAATTGGTTATTTTATTTATTTACATTTCAAATGTTATCCCCCTTTCCAGTTTCCCCTTCATAAGCCCTTCCCCCACTCTCCTTCTCCCTGCTTCTATGGGGGTGCTTCCCCACCCACTCCTGCCTCACAGCCCTAGCATTCTTGTATGATGGGACATTGATCTTGTACAGGACCAAGGGCCTCCCCTTCGAATGATGCCAGATAAGGTCATCCTCAGCTAGATATGCAGCTGGAGCCATGAGTCATTCCATTGTACTCTTTGGTTGGTAGTTTAGTCCCTGGGAGCTCTGGGGGTCTGGTTGGTTGATATTGTTCTTCCTATGGGGTTGCAATCCCCTTCAGCTCCTTCAGTCTTTCCCCTATCTCATCTATTAGGGTCCCCATGCTTGATCTAATGGTTGGCTGTGAGCATCTGCATCTATATTGGTCAGGCTCTGGTAGAGCCTTTCAGGGGACAGCTTTACCAGGCTCCTTTTACCAAGAGCTTCTTGACTTCAGCAACAGTATGTTAACCCCTCTTTTGAGTTAACCATGTTGTTTTGATTCCTCTCCTCAAATATCTTCTTTAAAGATTATAGTCTAGGTTTTTAATTATGCTTGTAGTGGGGATATGTGCCCTTGAGTATCAAAAGAAGATAAGGGGGCTTTAGATCCCCTGGAGCTTGATAGGTAGGTACTTATGAGCCTGGTGATGTGGGTGCTTCCAATAGAACTGGGGTCCTCCAAGAAAGTATTGTTTGCTCTTCACTCTTAACCACTGAGCAATCTCTGTAGACCACTAAACCCAATTCGTAAAGGTTCATCATAGATGTATATAATCACCTAAATATGAAAAAAAACTGATAGTTTAAATGCCATTTTTTAGTCACTCAGTATGAGCAGAAAATAATAGGATGATATTACATAAATTCTTAAATTAGGTCAGCTTACAATGATAGACAAATACATAAAACAGATTATATAACAAAAACATCTTAATGAACATGAAGAGTCTTGAGACAAGTCAGTCTCAAATTTAAACAGGTATGCTACTCAACTGTGAACACAGCCACAGTTCCAAGAAACAGACAGATGTTGTAAAGAGATCTGTTGTGTCTAGCAGGACTGCTACCTTTACACTTATATAGAACAGACATATTTACAGGAAACTATCTAGTTTCAGCAAGGTGTGGACACCTCTGGAGCTATGTGTCCACTGTCATTCACACCCTTTCCCCCATTTTCTATTGTCATTGTTTCAAATATGTTCACACTACACGATTTGCTAGCTGTGAGTTTATGTACATCTATGATTAACACACAGAACCAAGCACACATCCCTCTTAACTACTTGTGAAATAGTAAATGGCCTGCAAGGTAGTATTTATTTACCATTGATTTCCAGATAAATATCTGCAAAAGAAAATAGAATTACCTGATTCTTGTGCACAGAGAGGGAGCATTAAGAGATGGAGAATGCAATGGAGGAAAAAGTCCATTGCATTTGTTGGTGGGAAGTCTTCACTAACAGTCACAATACCTTGTTTCCTAGCTGAACTTCCAAGGGAGACTGTAATATTCTCCTATTTCCCCCACACACACCAAAGCAAGGTTATTCATTAACCCATGCGCTATCAGCACCTGTTTGAGTTCTTTTGATTTTTCAAAAGATTTATCTATTTATTTTATGTATGTGACCATATATAAAATGACACACCAGAGATGGCATAGGATCCAATTATACAAAGTTGTGAGGCACCATGCAGTTGCTGGGAATTGAACTCATGACCTTTGGAAGAATAGCTAGTGCTCTTAACCACTGAGCTATCTCTCCAGCCCCTGCTTTTGAACTTTTATCCTTTTTTTTGTATTGGATATTTTATTTACATTTCAGATGTGATCTCCTTTCCCCCCTTTCCCCCACCTTATCAAGGAACCCCCATAGAATCCCCCTCCTCTTGGTTCTATGAGGATGTGCTCGACCCACCCACCCACTCCCACCTCCCCACCACGAATTCCCCCATACTGGGGCATCAGTGGACCAAGGACTTCCTGTTCCACCTATGTCTGACACTGTCATCCTCCCCTACATATAGAGCTGGAGCCATGGGTCTCCCCCTATGTGCTCACAGGCTGGTGGTTTAGGCCCTGGGAGCTCTGGTTGGTTGGTATTGTGGCTTTCCCCATGGGACCACAAACTCTTTCAGCTCCTTCACTCTTCTCTCTTACTCCTCCATTGGGAACCCCATGATCAGTTCAATCGTTAGCTGTGAGCATCTGCCTCTGTATTTGTCAGGCTCTGGCAAACCTCTAAGGAGACAGCTATATCAGACTCCTGTCAGCATGCACTTCCTGACATCTACATCAGCGTCTACCTTTGGTGACTGCACATAGGATGGATATCCAGGTGGAATAGTCTCCAGACAACCCCTCCTTCAGATTCTGTTCCACTCTTTGGCTCCATATTTGCTCCCAGGAGTATTTTGCTACTCCTTCTAAGAAGGACCAAAGCACCCACAATTGGTCTTCCTTCTTTGTGAGCTTCATGTGGTCTGTGAGTTGTATCTTGGGTATTGTGAGCTTTTGGACTAATATCCAGTTATCAGTGAGTGTATACCATGTGTGTTTTCTTGTGATTGGGTTACCTTACTCAGGATGATATTTTCTAGTTCCATCCATTTGCCTAAGAATTTCATGAATTCATTGTTTTTTAATAGCTGAATAATACTCCATTGTGTAAATGTACCACATTTTCTGTATCCATCCCTCTGTTGAAGGACATCTGGGTTCTTTCCAGCTTCTGGCTATTATAAATAAGGCTTCTATGAACATAGTGGAGCTTGTGTCCTTGTTATATGTTGGAGCATCTTCTGAGTATGTGCCCAGGAGTGGTATAGCTGGGTCCTCAGGTAATGCTATGTCCAATTTTCTGAAGAACCTCCAGACTGATTTCCAGAGGGGTTGTACCATCTTGCAACCTCACCAACAATGGAGGAGTGCTCCTCTTTCTCCGCATCCTTGCCAGCATCTGCTATTACCTGAGTTTTTGATTTTAGCCATTCTGACTGGTGTGAGGTGGAATCTCAGGGTTGTTTTGATTTGCATTTCCCTGATGACTAAGGATATTGAACATTTCTTTAGGTACTTCTCAGCCGTTCGAGTTTCCTCAGTTGAGAATTCTTTGTTTAGCTCTCTACTCCATTTTTAATAGGGTTATTTGGTTGTCTGGAGTCTAATTTCTTGAGTTCTTTGTATATATTGCATATTAGCCCTCTGTTGGATGTGGGATTGGTAAAGATCTTTTCCCAATCTGTTGGTTGCTGTTTTGTCCTATTGACAGTGTCCTTTGCCTTACAGAAGCTTTGCGATTTTATGAGGTCCCATTTGTCAATTCTTGATCTTAGAGCATAAGCCATTGGTGTTCTATTCAGGAACTTTTCCCCTGTGCCCAGGTATTGGAGAGTCTTCTCCACCCTCTCTTCTATTAGTTTCAGTGTATCTGGTTTTATGTGGAGGTCCTTTATCCACTTAGACTGGAGCTTTGTACAAGGAGATAAGAATGGATTGATTTGTATTCTTCTACATGCTGACCTCCAGTTGAACCAGCACATTTTTAGAAAATGCTGTCTTTTTTTTCCACTGGACAGTTTTAGCTACTTTGTCAAAGATCAAGTGACCATAGGTGTGTGGGTTCATTTCTGGGTCTTCAATTCTATTCCATTGATCTTCCTGATTGTCTCTGTACCAATATCATGCAGTTTTTATCACTATTGCTCTGTACTACAGCTTGAGATCAGGTATGGTTTTTCTCCTAGAAGTTCTTTTATTGTTGAAAATAGTTCTCACTAACCTGTGGTTTTGTTATTCCAAATTCATTTGCAAATTGCTCTTTCTATCTCTGTAAAGAATTGAGTTGGAATTTTGATGGGGATTGCATTGAATCTGTAGATTGTTTTTGTCAAGGTGACCATTTTTTCCTATATTAATCCTACCAATCCATGAGCATGGGAGATCTTTCCATCTTGTGAGACCTTCTTGAATTTCTTTTTTCAGAGACCTGACGTCCTTGTCATACAGATCTTTCACTTGCTTGGTTAGATTCACACCAAGGTATTTTACATTGTTTGTGACTATTGTGAAGGATGTCATTTCCCTAATTTCTTTCTCAGCCTGTTTATCCTTTTAGTAGAGGAAGGCTACTGATTTGTTTGAGTTGATTTTATATCCAGCCACTTTGCTGAAGTTGTTTATCAGGTTTAGGAGTTCTCTGGTGAAAGCTTTAGGGTCACTTAAGTATACTGCCATATCATTTGCAAATAATGAAATTTTGACTTGTTCCTTTTCTATTTGTATCCCTTTGACTTCCTTTTGTTGTCTAATTACTCTGGCTAGGACTTCCAGTACTATATTGAATAGGTAGGGAGAAAGTAGGCAGCCTTGTCTAGTCCCTGATTTTAGTGAATTGCTTCAAGTTTCTCTCCATTTAGTTTGATGTTTGCTACTGGCTTGCTGTATATTGCTTTTACTATGTTTAGGTATGGCCCTTGAATTCCTGATCTTTCCAAGACTTTTATCATGAAGGGATGTTGAATTTTGTCAAATACTTTCTCAGCATCTAGTGAGATGATCATGTGGTTTTTTTCTTTTAATTTGTTTATATAGTGGATTTCATTGATGGATTTCCTAATATTGAACCATCCCTGCATTCCTGAGATAAAGCCCACTTGATCACGATGGGTGATTGTTTTGATGTGTTCTTGGATTCGGTTTGCAAGGATTTTATTGAGTACTTTTCCATCAATACTCATAAGGGAGATTGGTCTGAAGTTTTCTTTCTTAGTTGGGTCTTTGTGAAGTTTAGGTATGAGTGTGATTGTAGTTTCATAGAATGAATTGGGTAGTGTTCCTTCTGTTTCTATTTTGTGGAATAGTTTGAAGAAAATTGGTATTAGGTCTTCCATGAAGGTCTGATAGAATTCTGCACTAAAATCATCTGGTCCTGGGCTTTTTTTTTGGTGGGGAGACTTTTAATGACTGCTGTTTCTTTAGGGGTTATAGAACCATATAGATGGTTTATTTGCTCCTGATTTAACCTGGGTACCCGGTATCTGTCTAGAAAATTGTCCACTTCATCCAGATTTTCTAGCTTTGTTGAGTATAGGCTTTTGTAGTAGGATCTGTTGATTTTTTGAATTTCCTCAGTTTCCGTTGTTATGTCTCCTTTTTCAGCTCTGATTTTATCAATTTGGATACTGTCTCTGTGGCCCTCTGGTTAGTCTGGTTAAGGGTTTATATATCTTGTTGATTTTCTCAAAGAACCAGCTCCTGGTTTTCTTGATACTTTATATAGTTCTTTTTGTTTCTACTTGGTTGATTTCAGCCCTGAGTTTGATTATTACCTGCTGTCTACTCCTCTTGGGTGTATTTGCTTCTTTTTGTTCTAGAGCTTTTAGGTGTGCTGTCAAGTTGTTAGTGTATTCTTAGTCCAGTTTCTTTTTGTAGGCACTTAGAGCTATGAGTTTTCCTCTTAGAACTGCTTTCATGTAGTCCCACAAATTTTGGTACGATGTGTCCTCATTTTCATTAAATTCTAAAAAGTCTTTAATTTCTTTCTTTATTTCTTCCTTGACCAAGTCATCATTGAGTAGAGCATTGTTCAGTTTCCACATGCATGTGGGCTTTCCACTGTTTTTGTCATTATTGAAGACCAGCCTTTGTCTGTGGTGATCTGATAGGATGCAAGGGATTATTTCAATTTTCTTGTATCTGTTGAAGCCTATTTTGTGACCAATTATATGGTCTATTTTAGAGAAAGTACCATGAGGTGATGAAAAAAGTTATATTCTTTTGTTTTAGAATGAAATGTTCTATAGATATCTGTTAGATCCATTTGGTTCATAACTTCTGTTAATTTCATTGTGTCTCTGTTTAGTTTCTGTTTCCATCATCTGACCATTGCTGAGAGTGGGGTATTGAAATCCCCCACTATTATTGTGGGAGGTGCAATGTGTGCTTCGAGCTTTAGTAAAGTTTCTTTTATGCATGTGGGTGCCCTTGCATTTGGAGGATAGATATTCAGAATTGAACATTCATCTTGGTAGATTTTTTCCTTTGATAGAGTATGAAGTGTCCTTCCTTATCTTTTTTTATTTCTTTTGGTTGAAAGTCGATTTTATTTAATAGTAGAATGGCTACTCCAGCTTGTTTCTTGGGACCATTTGCTTGGAAAATTGTTTTCCATTCTTTTACTCTGAGGTAGTGTCTGTTTTTGTTACTGAGGTGCGTTTCTTGTATGCAGCAAAATTCTGGGTCCTGTTCGTGTATCCAGTCTGATAGTTTGTGTCTTTTTACTGGAGAATTGAGTCCATTGATGTTAAGAGATATTAAGGAAAAATGATTGTGGCTTCCTGTTATTTTTGTTATTAAAGGTGGAATTATGTTTGTGTAGCTATCTTCTTTAGGA